CCCAGGGCGTGGGGTCCCTGGGAAGGAACCTCGCCCCCACCCCCAGGTTGAGCCCCTGGCGAGCCCCGGGGCAGGAGGCAGAGCCCGTTGTTCCGACCCACTCTCCCCGCCTCCGTCCCCGCTCTTCGCCTTCCTAGGGATCTGCGCTCTTTCCTTGATCCGTGTTCAGTCCCCACCACTGCCGGGTACGCCCCCCTCCTCGAGGGCCTGGCGTCCAGCCCAGTCCCAGCTGAACCGCCCCCTTAGTGGTCCCTCCGCGGCGCGGCCCCCCGGTGCTTACCTCCTTGGGGGCCTCCCGGTTACCTGGAGCCTCTTCCTCCGCAGTTCCTTCTGCTCTTACGGGGACCCTTACGGACACTTCCTGATAGGAGACCCCTCTTCTTTTGCCAGACTGGCCCTCCTCCCGTCCCTCCTCCCGTCCCGGTTCAAACAGGCCAACTCCAGCGCTCCTTAAACTGAAGCCGAGGCCGGGCAGGTTCCTTGGGTCACTCAGGACCCGACCTGGGCCAGAAGAGGCTGTGGCTTGTCCGGCTTCAGAACCAGCCGTGGGCACCGAGTCCTTCCCACGCAGCGCCTCTCCAGCCTCCCTGAAGTCCTGGCAAGGACCCTGTGATGACTCTGGGCCCACCAGGTGGCCAAGAGTGGCTCCCAACTCCTGTCGGCTGGCTAGCAACCTCAGCCACTCTGTCATTTGTAACCTGAGAGGGATTGGGACACTGGGAGCCGTGCCTCTCCATCCACAATACGCTTGACTCACAGCCCCTCACTGCTGCCCTCCCAGTCCCCCTCCTGCTTTAGAGGGGGACGGTCCCTTCTCCTGTTTCACCCAGGGGTTGGGGTCCCTGGGAAGGAACCTTGTCCCCACCCCCAGGTTGAGGCCCAGGAAAGCACTAGGGCAGGAGGCAGAGCCCATTACCTCTGCATTTTCTTTCTGCTTTCCTTTTCTCCTGTGACCTCTGTCCTTCCCCACAGGGGTGAAACCAGCAAAGGGAAACCCGCCAGGACTTGGATGTGGCTCTTGGAGTGGAGGGGTGGTCAGTGGTTGATGTGTTCCTCCCTGCCTTCAGGATCCCACTAGGTGGCCTGCAGATCCCGAAGGCATTGCCTGCCTTTCACCCTCATGCCCAACACACACTTTCCATGGAGGTCCCAGCTGATTGCCCAGCCTTGGGAGTTGGTCCACTGAGCCATGAGATCTGGGCACTTCATTTAACTTCTGCTCTCTATTGCTCTTTCTTTGGGATTGTAATGAAAACTGACCTTTTCCAGTCCTGTGACCACTGCTGAGTTTTCCAAATGTGCTGGTATATTCAGTGTAGTATTTTAACAGCATCATCTTTTAGGATTTGAAATAACTGGAATTTCATTACCTCCACTAGCTTTGTTTGTAGTGATGCTTTCTAAGGCCCACTTGACTTCACATTCCAGGATGTCTGGCTCTAGGTGAGTGATCACACCATCATGGGTCATGAAGATCTTGTTTGTATAGTTCTTCTGTGTATTCTTACCACCTCTTCTTAATATCTTCTGCTTCTGTTATGTCCATACCATTTCTGTCCTTTATTGAGCCTGTCTTTGCATGAAATGTTCCCTTGGTATCACTAGTTTTCTTGAAGAGATCTCTAGTCTTTCCCATTGTATTGTTTTCAATCTATTTCTTTGCATTGATCACTGAGGAAGGCTTTCTTATCTCTCCTTGCTATTCTTTGGAACTCTGCATTCAGATGGGTATATCTTTCCTTTTCTCCTTTGCCTTTAGCTTCTCTTCTTTTCTCAGCTATTTGTAAGTCCTCCTCAGACAACCATTTTGCCTTTTTGCATTTCTTTTCTTGGGGATGGTCTTGACTACTGCCTCCTGTACAATGTCATAAGCCAGGCTTCAACAGCACAGGAACCATGAACTTACAGGTGTTCAAGCTGGATTTAGAAAAGGCAAAGGAACTAGAGATGAAATTGCTAACATCCGCTGGATCATCAAAAAAGCAAGAGAGTTCCAGAAAAACATATATTTCTGCTTTATTGACTATGCCAAAGCCTTTGGCTATGTAGATCACAATGAACTGTGGAAAATTCTGAAAGAGATGGGAATACCAGACCACCTTACCTGCCTCCTGAGAAATCTGTATGCAGGTCAAGGAGCAACAGTTAGAATTGGACATGAAACAACAAACTGGTTCCAAATTGGGAAAGGAATACGTCAAGGCTGTATGTTGTCACTCTGCTTATTTAACTTATATGCAGAGTACATCATTCAAAATGTGGGGCTGGATGAAGCACAAACTGGAATCAAGATTGCCAGGAGAATATCAATAACCTCAGATATGCAGATGATACCACCTTTATGGCAGAAAGTAAAGAGCCTCTTGATGAAAGTGAAAGAGGAGAGTGAAAAAGTTTGCTTAAAACTCAACATTCATAAAACTAAGGTCATGGCCTCTGGTTCCATCACTTCATGGCAAATAGATGGGGAAACAATGACAGACTTTATTTTGGGGGGCTCCAAAGTCACTGCAGATGGTGACTGCAGCCATGAAAATAAAAGACGCTTGCTCCTTGAAAGAAAAGCTATGACCAACCTAGACAGCATATTAAAAAGCAGAGACATTACTTTGTCAACAAAGGTCCATCTAGTCAAAGCTATAGTTTTTCCGGTAGTCATGTATGGATGTGAGAGCTGGTCTGTAAAGAAAGCTGAGGGCTGAAGGATTGATACTTTTGAACTATGGTGTTGGAGAAGACTCTTGAGTCAAGAGTCCCTTGGACTGCAAGGAGATCAAACCAGTCAATCCTCAGGCAAATCAGTCCTGAATATTCATTGGAAGGACTGATGCTGAAGCTAAAACTCCAATATTTTGGCCACCTTATGGGAAGAACTGACACATTGGAAAGACCCCGATGCTGGGAAAGATTGAAGGCAGGAGGAGAAGTGGACGACAGAGGAAGAGATGGTTGAATGGCATCACCAATTTAATGGACATGAGTTTGAGCAAGCTCCAGGAGTTGGTGAAGGACAGGGAAGCCTGGTGTGCTGCAGTCCATGGGGTTGCAAAGAGTTGGACACAACCGAGCGACTGAACTGAACTGAACTCCATTGCCCATCTGGCCAAGTGTCTTTGGTCCGGTTTCCTGGAGAGGTGAGTGGAGGCTTCACCAGGGCAGTGCAGCCCTCCCCTCCCCTCCCCACCCCCAAGTTCACTCCATTCCTATAGAAAAGAGAAATAGCTCCTGGGGCTAAGCTCCTCTCCAGCTCCAGTGATGTGAAAGTCAGAGGTTCTGGGCAGTAGTCCAGGCCAGGAGAGCAGCTCCTGGGCCACGGGCAGCCCTCCACCTGCTACTGGTGACAAGCCCCCTTTTGGAAACCGGCAGCTTCCTGACACCCCTCCCGCTGGTGGGTGTCAGGCACCCCGCACCTGGTGTTCCAGGACAGGTCTCCTTGGCCCAGCCGCCTGAGGCAGGGGTGTGAGTGTGCTCATCTGAAGGCCGACTCCAGGCGCCCCTAGCCCACAGGACCTGCATGACTCCTGGCATGAAGGCTTCCTGCAAGCAAGGGAGGAGCGTCATCTATAGAAAGCCATTCTGCCCTTCCATGCAGGCAAGACCCTGCAGGGCACCTAGAGATGCCCACGCCCACCCAGGCTCAGTTCTGCTGGCCCAGCAGTGGACTCCTCCCCGTGCTGGGTATGGCTGTCTGGCGCCCCCATCCCCTCAGCACCCTACCACCCTACCACACAGACCCCAGGTTCCCCACTCTGAGGCTCTTGGCGGTGGCAGGGCTGTGTGCCCACAGGAAGTGGAGGGGATGTGGGGGTCTTCTGCCAGCTTAGCTCCCACCCAGCCTGGCCCCACCTGACTGCTCCCCCATCCAGAAACCAGACTTCTCCACGTTCAGTTTTATTTAAAGACTCGGAATCACAGGCATCGTGGTTTGTCATCAGTTCGTTCCTCCAAAATCACACACATCTGTGTCTAAGAGAAACAACGGGTGCATGTGTGTGACTGTGCAAAGTGCCAAGCATTTCCCAGCCAGAGCCCGCATTCACCGCATGGCTGCCACCCCTGACTCTGCTCCTGTGGCCCCCTGGTGGCCCTGGTTAGCCCTGTGTCTCTGGTCTCGAGACCAAGGTCTGCACTGAGAACAGAGTGGTTATCTATTGAAAGGAAACTTGGTGAAACCTCCACAAGGTGGCAAATCTGAACTGTGGTGACCAGCGCACCTTTCAACAGTGGAAGCCTTAGGTGTGGTCTCCTCTCTACAGTCACAGGAGGGCCTCTTGGCCTGGGGTCCCCCCTCCTGTTCCTTCACTGCCGGCCCTGTCAGAACATCTCCAGACGTGGCAAGGGCCACTGGAAGGGCTAAAGAGACGGGCTTTTCCAAACTCTTGCCAACGCCAAGGCCGCTCTAGCCCTAGGAGGACCGAGGCTGTGAACATCAGGCTCCCCAGGCTCACAAGGTGCCTGCAGAAGTTCTGCCCATTTGCTGTCTCCCCAGAGATCTTTTCAACCAAGTCCTGACTAGTTTTACAAAAAGGCAGCACCAGATGTATGAAAAATAGGCAGTGTACGACCTGTTAGAGATTTATAAAGTCTAACAGCTTTGCAGTAAAAAGGTGTAAGAAAGAAGCACGAGAGCAGGACAGTGGTAGCAGGCGAGAAGCACTGTGTACACCTCGCCCGCAGGAGCCGAGCGCTGCCTCAGGGACCTGGCCGATAATGACCTGGGCCAGGGCACCATGCTAAGGGGCCTGGTGGTGGTGCCTGAGGTATAGATGGGGTGAGGAGCAATCCAGACCCAAGTGAAGCCCAGAGGCGCCTTGAGAACGCCCTCCAAACGCGCTGGGCCTGTGCTCCCTGTCAGCCCCATGAGTAGAGGGCAAGCAGGGTCCTGGGAGCAAACCACCCCACAGTGTGTGGGTCCTGCCACCTGCCTGGAAGGACTGGGGCCTCTGGTGGCTGCTCCCCTGGGGTCCCTGCACCTCTGTCCCTGGGGGGCAGGCACGACCTCAGAAGCTCTCCACAAAGCTGCCGGGGAAGAGGCCAGTGCGGCCGTTCCTCTGCAGGGTCCCCTTGTACCAGCCGTCCTCACGCTTCTTGTGCACGAAGACCACGTCCCCCTCCTTCAGCTCGATCTCTGCCTCGCTCTGGGGCGGGTATGAGACCACCACGCGGTACCTGGGGAAACAGACACTGGGGTGAGCGAGCAGCCCATCGTCTCCAGGGTTCCAGGGCCTCCTGCCCCTGTTTTTGGACCAACGTGCCATAAAACCCAGCTGGGTCTCCGCTGTGGGAGCCTCTGCCTGCTGAGTGCCTGGGCTCTGATCAGGAACAGACACACAGGCCTCAGCAGGTGGCTCCCCTCCCCCTGAGGGCTCCCAAGATCTGAGACAGCCGTGCCTGGCCAAGGGCACAGGGTGGGTCTGCACTCCACACCTGCCCGGAAAGCCTCAAGGAGGCAGCTCTGAGGACCAGCCTTCTAAAGCACCCCTAGGATGAGGGCAGATGGCAGTGACCTGGCCTCCCTGCCATCCAGCCCAGCAGAGTTGCTGGTCGCACCCCTCCAGCTGGGGGTCATACAGGCATCCCACTGGTGTCCCACTGGCCCCATGCCCACTGCCCTTCTGGGGGTGATGACTGGGCAGGAGGCTGAGGGCTCTGTGCACACCCCACTCTGGGTGGTCTGGTGGCCATCAGAGTACCTGTTCTCACTGGCTGCAAACCGCAGACACCACAGGCTGGGCATGGGGGGTCAGCGAAGTCTCCCTGATGGACCTGCCAAGCCCTGGGCCTCACCATGCTCCTCGTCTCTCCCCACCCCACCTCCACCCCCAGCCCACCATCCACACCACCCTCCTGGGCTGGAACCACGTGGCTCAGCAGAAGCACGCTGGGAAGAGGACCTGTGCTTCCATCTGTCCCCCCTCCCTCCAGACCTACCTCAGCCCCATGGCTTCACCTCCCAGCTCAGCTCCGCCCACCGGTCTGGCCCACAGATGACCTGGACAGGGACCTCCTGCTCCTGGGCTCAGTCGGGCCCACACCCCTGCTGTGGGCAGCGGCAGAGAAGGAGTGGCCGAGGCTGGGCTGGGGAGAGCCGTTCTCAGCCAGGCCACCCTCTGTTCTCCCAGCCCCACAAGTCCCATAAATCCCCAAGTGTCCTCCCTGGGCCAGAGGTGCAGACTGTGACACCCTTTCTCTACAGTCACCCCCTGCTTTTGGAGCTCTGGGCCTTCCCTCCCCTCTCTCTGAGGAGGGTTGCCCACCCCCTCCTCCCTTCCTGGCTGGGGAAGGGGAGAGATTCCTGACCGTGCCCTGGGCCCTGCCTCCCCATCAGCCACAGCCACACCAAGGGCCCCTGAAGGAGTCTGGCAGCTGGGGGTCCCCAGGGTCCTCAAGGGGTTTTGTCCACAGAGCCTCTGACCTGGTATTTCCTGGACCTGGAGGAATCAGGATGTAATAAAGCAGGAGGTCCCAGGTCAGCTCTTCTAGAAGTGAGGCTCACAGACTGGGCACCCTGGGTCCACTGGATGAGATGTTGGTGGGGGAGTGGACCAGGGAACAAGATTCCTCAGGATCTGCCTGCAGATGTCTAAGGACCAGGGTGCTGAATAAAAACATTAAGGCTGACTTCGTCCTCCTTCAACCAGCTGCACACAGCCTGGGGGCCAGCCTGTCTGGCTAGAGTTGGTGCGGGGCTTGGGGAAAATGCTCAGGCAGAGAAAACCCAGGTCCCAGCTGGCTCCAGGCAGTGGAAGCAGGGGCAGAGAGAAAGGGGGTCTCTGGGCTGGCTGGGCTAGTGAGCAGGCCCTGGTGCTGAGAGAGCAGGCCGGCCCAGCTCCCCAGGTGCCTACAGTGTGCAAGCTGGGGCCAGCTTCCACCTTGGTCCCTTTCAGGGTGAGGAAGGGGTGACAGCTCCTCCCAACCTGGCATATCTGCGAGCAGCTGCCTGCCAGCCACTCCCTGGAGGAGGCCTGGTGGCTGCTGGGATGCAGCAGCGTGAAGTCAGCTGACACCATGCAGACGGCATCTCCCACCCCTAGCACCCTGGCTGCATGACCACCAGGACCGGCACCTCCCCCATGGCTTCTAGCTACTATCGCCTTCTCCTCTGCAGACACCTGCCACTCCCTTGCAACCCCCCAAGGAAAGAACACAGTGAGATCATTTCTCACAAGTTTTAGCTTTTGCCTCAACTGCCAGATGTGAAACAAGCAACTTTAAAAATCTAATTAAAAATTAATGTGGTGCTTCTGAGCAATCCTGTGATTTAAGAGTCCGGATGGATGACATGGACCAACTGTCTATGAGATGAGCATTCGGGATTCCATCCTGATCCTTCCAAGACGCTGAAGTGCAGATCTGAAGGGCCAAGAGAACAGGCAGGGCAGCAGCTCGCAGCACAGTCCTGGTGTTGGGCATCAGACACACACAGCGAGTCTGCAGACTGGGCTCAGGAACCACTCGACTGCTGCAGGCGCTATTGCCTGGCATGCGGGGTCGGGGGCATCCTCTGTGTCACATGAGGGACCCTGGTGAGGACGAGGGGTCCCAGCTAGGGACTGTGGTTATCACAGCGGTGTCCTACCAGACCTTGGAAATGGTAAGAATACACGCTGCACACCACACTTGAAGGTCTACATGGGCCTAGAGTCCCTGTGGCATCTGACAGATTCCCACAGACAACATGTAACAATGTACACATCTGGCAGTTCTGAAAGCCTGAAGTTCGTCATAACCTCACGGAGACACAGTTGAGGGTCTCTGGGAGACTGTGTCCCCTCCCCTTTTCCTGCCCCTAGAAGCTGCCAGAATTTCCAAGGAGCATTCCTGTTCTTCCTCCGACTCAAAGCCAGCACGGCAAGCTGAGCTCCTTGTCTGCCTGCGAGGACTCCTGTGGTCACATGGGCCGCCTGGGCCTGGATGACCTCTCCACTTTAGGGTCAGATGCTCGGTCCATCTGCCATCCTATCCTTGGTGTGGGGATTAGGGCAGAGATGTCTTTGGGAGCCATCATTCCACCTGTCATGACCCACAAGAGATCAAGGCAAGAAACTTCTAAATCCTGACAGAGCTTGACAGCTGACAGGCCAGTGGGAGGTGAGGACATACCACCTATGAGGACTGTCAATCAAAGGGGGGAGACCACCACCCCCACCATGATCTCACTCACTGTCATGTACGTGATGTCACACGACACTGTCATACACGTCATCTTTTGTGTTGTTATGGTTGTCCTTGCCCTTGGTGTTCACTGGGAGGAGAAGAGGGCAACAGAGGATGAGACAGTTGGATGACATCACTGACTCAATGGACATGAGTTTGAACAAACACTGGAGACAGAGAAGGACAGAGGAGCCTGGTGTGCTGCAGTCCATGGGGTTGCAAAGAGTCAGACGTGACTTAGCAACTGAACACCAAATTTGTTTGTCTTTTCCTGGGTACTAATTTAGCTGCTTTGCAAATATAATAATAACCCCCAGGCACCATCATCCTCATGTTGTGTGTGGGAACTGGGACTCAAACAGCAAAGGCACTCATTTGGGTGACATGGCTGTTAAGCGGCAGACGGTGGTGCATAGGAGGAGGACGGGGAGGGAGTACAGGCTGGAGCTCAGCCGACCCCAGCAGGACAGGCAGACAAGAGCTTTCCTGATCCCCAAGCAATGTCCAGAAATGCAACTCCCTGTGCACTGCCCAGAGGCTGGGGTGCTGCAGACCACCCAAGGCTAGGTTCCCGCAAGGGCAGTACCCTGGCTCCCAAGGCCTCCTCCTGAGAGCCTGGCCAGCCTGGGGGTGCTTCCCGTGGTTCCCCCACACACACCTGGGAAGTCTCCCTTGACAGCACCCTCAACCTAAAGGTCCTTCCTCTGAGATCACCGCCAGGGAGAAATGGCTTGCATGCAGGCGGCACCAGACAGGCCAGCGGCAGCGCCCCTCATCCACACATTGGGAGTGTGGCCTGAGGCCAGGTGAGCTGCCCCGGCCTGAAGCTGACATTGCTGTCATCACATCCTTGGCTCCAGCCTGTTTGGGCCAGGATGTGGCATCCTGAGGGCTGTGCAGGGCTGCACAGGGCAAGGGCCGGGCTAGGCAGTGCTGGTCACTAACGAGCTGTGCAGGGTGCTGGGCAGATTAGCCGGGGCCCCAGGGATGACACGCAGATTAGCCAGGACTGTCAGCGAATGGGAGGAATTTCCTGAATTTTCTAGTTACTGAGAGACTCCCGAGATTTTTTTTTAGAGCAGGGTCTTTTAAGCCCTGCATGGAGTCTGGAGGTTGAGAGAGCTGAGAAGAAAAGAACTCGAAGGAGACGTGAGGGCAGCTTCAGCACCTGCAGGGCCTGTCACCCTGACTGGAGATGCTCCAGGAGCCCAGCTGTGGGCCTTGGAGAAGGGCCAAACCCCTGCAGAGATCATAGGCAGCTGGGCTGGTCTCGTGTAAGAAGGAAGGCTCTGATGTGGGAGAGAGGCCCCAAGGTGGAGGGAAGTGGAGGAAGAAAGGCAGGTGTGTGGTGTGTGAGGTTGAGTGTGGCATGTGTGTGTGTGTGGTGTCTGTATTGTCTGGTGTACATGGTGTGTGTGTGTGTGTGGTGTCTGTATTGTGTCTGATATACATGGTGTCTATGATGTACATGGTGTGTGTGTGGTGTCTGTATCGTGTCTGGTGTACATGGTGTGTGTGTGGTGTCTGTATGGTGTCTGGTGTACATGGTGTGTGTGCAGTGTCTGTATCGTGTCTGGTGTACATGGTGTGTGTGCGGTGTCTGTATTGTGTCTGGTGTACATGCTGTGTGTGTGTGTGGTGTCTATTGTGTCTGATATACATGGTGTCTATGGTGTACATGGTGTGTGTGTGGTGTCTGTATCATGTCTGGTGTATATGTGTGTCTGTTGTACATGGTGTGTGTGGTATCTGTATCATGTCTAGTGTACATGGTTTGTGTGGTGTCTGTATTGTGTCTGGTGTACATGTGTGTCTGGTGTACATGGTTTGTGTGGTGTCTGTATCGTGTCTGGTGTACATGGTGTGTGTGTGGTATCTGTATTGTGTCTGGTGTACATGGTGTCTGTGTGTGGTGTCTGTATTGTGTCTGGTGTACATGTGTGTCTGGTGTACATGGTGTGTGTGTGGTGTCTGTATTGTGCCCCGTGTACATGCTGTGTGTGTGGTGTCTGTATCGTGTCTGGTGTACATGCTGTGTGTGTGGTGTCTGTATTGTGTCTGATGTACATGGTGTGTCTGGTGTACATGGTGTGTGTGGTGTCTGTATCATGTCTGGTGTACATGTGTGTCTGGTGTACATGCTGTGTGTGTGGTGTCTGTATCGTGTCTGGTGTATATGGTGTGTGTGTGGTATCTGTATTGTGCCCAGTGTACATGCCGTGTGTGTGGTGTCTGTATCGTGTCTGGTGTATATGGTGTGTGTGTGGTATCTGTATTGTGCCCAGTGTACATGCCTTGTGTGTGGTGTCTGTATCGTGTCTGGTGTACATGGTGTGTGTGTGGTATCTGTATCGTGTCTGGTGTACATGGTGTGTGCAGTGTCTGTATTGTGTCTGGTGTACATGGTGTCTATGGTGTACATGGTGTGTGAGGTGTGTCTCAGGTCACACGGAAGAGCTGGCATTGGTCAGTGTGGCTGAGTGGGGGAAGGATTCTGACAGATACCAGGACTATGTTCTCAGGAAACGCCCCTCCTTTTACCAGCTCTCGGAGGAGGAGGTGCTCAGAAAGGAAAGCACTTCCTCCCTGCAGGCCCCCGACCCGTCTGAAGCTCTCTAAGGACCGATGACTCAAATGGGCCTGCTCATACAAGAGGACGCTAACCTCTGGCCCTTCCATCTGATGCCTTGGTGAACTCAGTTCCTTGATCCAGAAACTCTGGGCTGAACTCTATGAAATCGCTGGCTTTGGTGACAAACAGATAAATACTGGCCATGTCATATGGTTTAATCCAGAGCCAATCTGGGTTAAGGGGGCCGGGTTTCCAGAAGAGTTGCCTGGGGTGGGATCACTCCAGGTTCCGGTGGGGCTGGGGGCGGAGCTCATCTCTTTGGGCTCTGAACACCTCAGTTCTACCAGATTTTCCTTGTAAATCCGAAGTCAGGGCGCAGATGGATTCAGAATGTGAGACCTGCTCCTGTTTTATCTGAGTCTCTGGGACAGTGAGGGACACCAGGCAGGTTACTCCCCAGGAATCCCATTGTCCCTTTCCCCAAAGTGGCTCCAGGCCTCAGAGACCACCGCATCCAGGCCCGAAAGCACACAGCTCCCCCTGTTACCTCTCTCTGGGAAGTGGCTTGGGCTCAGGGCGGACAGCAATTGTGGAGAACGCGGCCGGCTGGGTGGGTGACGGGAAGCTCAGATCCAAGGAGCCTGCCTTCCTGTGCAGTGGCTCCATCCCCAAGGCGCCCTGCATCTCGCCTTCGATGGGACAGGACCCAGCCCTGCCGTGGATGGACAGCAAGGACACTTCGGGCCCCACTGCGCCCTGGAGCGAGGCGTCCACTGCCTGGGGGTCATGGGTGGGAGAGGTGGATGGCGGGGAGCGCGACTTCCTCCTGGTGGATGCACCGGCCAGCAGCTTCAGCAGCCCACTCTTCCTGTCTTTCTAGAGACACACAAAACGAAGTTGGGTGAGTGCTTTCAGCGAGGAGTGGCCCTGTCAGGAGACTCTGGTCCTGGTCAAATAAAGCTGCCTAGAGGAGGACGGTGAAGATGGAAAGCTTTCCCATCTCGCTTCCCTCCTTTCCTGAGATGTGGAAGACATGCCAGCACAGACCTAGACCTGGAGGTGCCAACCCGACAACCCCCTCCTCAGGAACCCCCTCCTCAGGAACCCCCTCCAGACTCCCGCTCTCAGGAACCCTGATCTCAGGACCCCCCATCTCAGGACCACATCCCAGCCTGGAAACATCACCAGTTGAGGGCACCAAGGGTCTCCTGCAGCGGGAGGGGGTCGTTACTCCACATTAGTACTGAGTATCCCACACACCTTCAGCTGGAGGCCCTGACAGCACTGTTTGTGGTTGTATGATACGGGGAGCCGAGTTCCATGTGTGTCACATATGTGTGTGCATGTATGAGTGAGGGTGTGTGGAGGAGGAAGATGTGTACACACAGAGGTGCTTCTATGGCAATGTGCTGGCCTTGGTGTTGAGTTTGGCGGCTCTCCTGGAACTGACTGTTCTGATGTGAGATGAGGACTAGCTAGCTGGCAGGGGGTGTGGTGTGAAACAGGTGGCACTCTGAGTCTGACACGGAGCCCCGGGTCGGTGATGGCCACCACAGCGTCTGATTGGGTCATGGGGCTAGTTGGACCCCACAGTGGCCTGATGGGGACTCCTTTTTCCACCCCAGCTGTTGGGGAGTCATTGGTGCTGAAATCACCATAAAGCGCACTTAGCAGGGATGTGTGCCTCAAGCTAAGTCAGTAACACTTTAGTATGAACAAATCTGAAGTTTTTCTCTACTCCCAGCACTGGTACTGATGAAAAGGATTGGAGCTGATGTCCTGAATGCACACCACGGCTGGCATGGGCAAGCCCCAGCCTGGAGGGGAGCAGGCATGGGGGCAACGTGGCACAGGGCAGCCTTGATTAGCATCCACCAAGAGATGACAATGTGGGACACATTCAGGAGAGCTTTGGTCAGTTAGCCACCAGGGGGCACCATGCAGCTGGCTCGGAGGCGTTGCCAGCCTCCAGATAGCCACCATGCAGAGGAAGGGACTCCCAGGATGACAGCCTCCTAACTGAGACCAGCAGGGGGAGGGCACCGGCTCAGGTGCACAGAATGTCCCTGGCGCTCACTTGGGGGCTCTGGAAAGGGAGCCAGGCTGGCAACAGACCCCCAAACACTGCGGGGTCTCTGCAAAAACCCACTGGCTATCAAGTGATCAAGTGGGATCTGGAGATGAAAACTCTAAAAGTAATCTAACAGTGTATGTGTGTGCCTGTGTGAATATGCGAGCCTCTGCGTGAATGTCTGTGCCTATGTGTAAATGTGTGTGCTTATGTGTGACTGTATCAGTATGTGTACGTATGTATGTGCGCACGCGTGTATCTGTACATTTGCATGTACACATGGGTATTCATGTATATGTGTGTGCATGTTTATGCATGTGTGTCTGTGTGCATGTGTGTGCAAGCACACCCAGGTGAATAAAATTAAGATCCACATGATGGGACCCGAAGCCTGCCAGTGGCCCCGTGGTGCCATCCACAACAGAGGGAGGGGCATCACTGGCTCAGCCTGCACCCCATGGGACTGAGGGCTGAATGCCCTTTCTGCTGCTCTGCTGGGCCAGCCAGGCTCTCAGAGCACAGGGACTGAATTCTGGACACTCACCAGCAAACCCTGATGGGGCCGCTGGACCATGTGGGCACCAGGGTAGGGACAGGGGCTCCAGGCATGAGCTGTGTCGTTGGTGGCATCATAGCCAGAGAGTCCTGCTGGGTGAGTTAGCCAGGACGTGCATGCCCAGTGGGGAGGGGCCTGCATAAGACCTGCCAGCGACCGGGGGAGGGGCTCTCGATCCCTGGTGAGGTCTGACTGTGCCCATTGCTAGGTCTCACCCAGCTCAGAGCTCTGGCAGCTGCTCCATATAAAATCAAGGCGAAGGAGACACAGTTAGGACAGGCCCAGGGCAAGTGGGCAAGGACTCTTGGAAGTTTCTTGGCAAAGCCACAGCCTTCCCAGGAGAGCAAGTTGCCAGGCCTACCAGCAGGGCTGCCAGCCCTGCGTCGGGCTCCCACCATCTACACCTGCCAACTGGGTGGCAAGGGCCACTGTAGGAGTAGGGGCTCAGCGGGCACGGCAGCCCTGCCAGGCACAGCAGGCAAAGAAACAGGCAGAGCCAGGCTGTCAAGGTCCACACCTGGGTCAGCACATCAGAGAAGAGCCCAGGGGGACATTAGAAAGACACACACATATGCACTCACACTCACACGCACACACACAACCTGATATAAAGTCGTAGCCTACTAGCAAAGAATCACCTGGAAACCAGTATTATAAAAGAGATATACATTCATTACAGAAGAACCATAAAACATCTTAAAAATAATAAAATGATAGCTTCTGTCCCTAGAGGGTTTGTTCCTTAGAACGTTAATGCAAAAACTTGGCCAAAGGACAAAGAAATTTAAAGCTTAAATGAAGAACTGCTGCCAATTAAAAGTCAATTAAAATTATGGAAAATTATCTCTGAAATTAAAAGAAGTCAAAGAACAGAATTTGATTTATAAAATGTGACATTAATTTTTTTAGGGAGTCAGTTCATTTAATTAAATGAAGTAAACCTGAGTGCCACGTCTTCTCCATTGGCTCCTCATTAATCCACAGGGTTAGATGGCCCCACTTCTCTCACACAGATTTACCCTGTGTCCTCGCTTCTGCTCACAGGACATTTAAAGCTGCTGGTGGGCATACACTAGATGCTGGGCAGGTGTGGTGGGCAGCACTGACATGGACATGGTTTGGTCTGCAAGGCTCAGCCCCGACCCCCTAGGAAAACCTCAACCTGCAGGACCAAATGCACTTGTGGGTAGGGCAGGCTCTTCCCACCACCTCTGAGCACAGGGCACAGACAGAGCCACACATGTGCATTCTGCCAGGTGCACAAAAGGATGTTTCCACAAGCTGAGACAGGAGTTCAGGGTCACGGGTCAAGGGTCATGGGCCATGTTCCGATTGAGTCCGCACTCAGTGGCCTGGGGGCATTGCTGCCATCGGGGAAGCGCAGATCTAGTCCCCCAGATGGCTGATGTCGGCTCAGGAGAGCAGGTGCAGGAGGGCTCAGCGGTACTTCATTTTATTACACATTTTGGTATTTTCTGACTTATTATGTCAAATGTTGTTTCTTCTTGAGAGGAAACATAATGAAAGCAAAACTTGTAAAAGTTGCTCTGCACGCAGGGTACAGACATGATGTACCGGAGAGAACTTCTGTTGTTCTGCTGATGGGAAGGGAGGTGGTTTTGGAGGAGTGGGGTTGGGGTGGCCTGCCCCCGAGAGCTGCCTGGGGACCAGATGAAATAAGACACGTCAGACACTTGCCTACTGTCCCTGGCACCCTCTCATCACCATGGTTACCACAGCTGGCTGGAGACTTCTTTCTGAGGCCACCAGTCCACCCAGTGACACACGGGTGTCCCTCCATGGCTGCATCTCACTGTCTGGGCATGGAAGTGCCATGCTCAGCCAGAGGAACAGTGCCAGGACCTTGTCTCTTCTACGACAGCAGTCCTCACGGGATGCGAGTGTGACGTTGTGCTTCCCACAGGCTGTGGTGACATGTGTGGCGGAGGGGGCCCTTCCCTGTGCTGAGCTGCAGGGGCTGTGAGCAGAGCCAGAACAGGAAGGAGGCGGCCTGAATGTCTTTCCCCAACAGGAGTGTCACCTGCTGGGCTGTGAAGGGCCTCACGGCTCTGAACAGAGGTGCTTCCTGAGTTCTATGAAGCCCCTGGACTGGCCAGGCCAGGTGCAGGTAGCTTCTCAAAGCAGGTCATGCCCTTCACTAGGGTAAGAGGCTGTGGTTTAATTTAGCTGAGAAATGATGAGGTGAAGGGCAGTGGCTGTGAAGCTCTGACCGGCTGCCCCACATCCTACGAGGCGAGGCCCCCCAGCTGACAGCGCAGGACTGCTCTGGTGTCAGGGTCCCAGCATCTGCCCTTCCCTCCGCTCCAGCCGCCTGAGGCAGACGCTGGCAATGGCCTCCTGCACCAGGGGCTACTCTTGTATCCCAATCGCCCCCACCCTTGGTTCTGCAACCTGGGGGCTTACATGACCAGCTTGGAACAGCTCTGAGAAGCTGGGGGCTGATGACTCCATTGCATGGGTCTCCCCAAGGGATGAGGAGATGGAGACAGAATGACCCAGAAGCCCTTAGAGAGCCATGGAGAGGGACTCGGGGAGGGGTGCTGCCCTCCCTGGTGCCAAAACTGGCCAGCTGGGTGGGCCCTGGGAAGGTCACAGGGTTCTTCAGTCACGAGTGAGAGCAGGGCCTCATGGGTAGGGACCGAGGTACTTCCTGGGCTCTGGGAAGTCCTGAAATATCCAGGCTGGGTCCCCACTCTGAATGGCCCCGCACCCATACCCCAAGGAGCGGCTGGGAGTCCGGCACCCATGGGTCGACTAGTACATATTCTAGGCAGCCAAGCCCCTCTGGACCTGTGTCTCTGAATACCCGCAGGCTCTGAAAACTGCCATCCTGCCAGCCTCACTTTATTCATCCCAAGAAGGAGCCACACCCCAAATCCAGGGTGATGAGTCCAAAGAGAGGCAAGGAAGGTTCCTCTAGAAACCCAGGGGAGCCCTACCCAGGACTGCATCTCCCGCATCTTTGTGGACTGACCTGAGCAAGTGGGCTGCTCTGGGGGGTGTGGACGCAGTGCCCCCAGGAGAAGGGCAGCTGTGCTGGTGGGATTGGGCTGTACAGACAGTGGTTAGGAGTGAGGGGACTGCATGTGCTGCCCCAAGTCCCATCTCTCTGGCATGTGAAGTAAAAGTGAAAGTTGTTCAGTCATGTTCGACTCTTTGGGACCCCGTGGACTATATACAGTCTGTGGAATTCTCCAGGCCAGAATACTGCAGTGGGTAGCCGTTTCC